GTCTTCGGCTGGTCGGCTGCAGCGACGTGGATCTGATGGTAACCGCTACAAAGATCAATCTTCGTAAAGAAGCGGTTGCCTGCTAGGCGGTCGAACAACTCATAAGAACGAGGCATGGGGTAGCTGTTCTTAACCGTGTAGCGGTTGAGACCGCGATAGTCAATGCAGAGATGGAGAGTTTCATCCGCTTTGCTAGCAAAGAGGATGGGTGCACCCCACGGGGAGTTGCTGGGTTTAATAAAACCCAGTCTCGGGAGCTCCTCAAGCTGACGCTTGAGTTCGGTGGCCTCGGGGATCGAGAGTCTGTAGGGTGCCTGGTGGTGAACACGATAGTCAGGCACAAGCTGAATGGAGTGCTCGACGTCACGCATCGGTGGGATACCGACGTACGAGAACGACGATGGGAAAACGTCGTGGTACTCTCGGATGAGGTCACGAACTGCAGGCTCCAGGTCAGCCGTATATCGTGCGAGTTCCTCAGCGTCAGCGTCAATGCGCGACGGCGGGGTGGACTCGACGGACGACGAAGGGACGGAAGTAGAGATGGGAGCCATGGAGATAGAAGGAGGATCTGGCTCCACAGGGAGGAGCTCGACGTCGGGACAGGGTGGATCATAGTGTAAGAGATCCGTCACGTTCACCATAAAGAAGGTGACGTTGTCCTGTCGGATGAAGTGGGCGAACTGCCGAGGCGAAGTGACTGTGATAGAAGGAGATGGTGTGGGCACAAAAGGCTCCGGGAGAGGAGGATCGGGGCGTGGTGTCGCGATACATCTGTCCACATTCGTTTTGAGAACGAGAGTGTTGGTCGCCAAATCAGCCTTGGTGCTGCGGAACCGACGAGACCACGGAGTTCCGATAATGAAGTCGTACCCCGTCTCTATCACATCAAAATGTGTAGGGGAGCGGTGGCGACGAGACGTCAGGGAACGATAAGTCGGCTCGAGAGTGAGGAAGAAAGGGAGGTCGGTGACCGCCTGATCGAAGAAGCGCTGGGTCTTGTCATCCCCTAAGGTAACGGAGATGGGAGTCGGAGACCCTGTCGTGGGTAAGCGAGTTTCTTTCACTACGAGTGGGTGAATGAAGTCGCCCTGAGAACCGGAATCCCACAGCGAGGAGTACACCCTCGTGGAGGTCCCGAGTCGTACTGGGATGATCGGGAGGGTGCGATCAGGGTTAGAGAGGATGGCGAGAAGGCGACGCAGTGCAGCGACATGGAGGGTGAGTCGCTCCTAACGAGCGCTCCTCGGCGGAAAGGACATCGCGAGGAGGAACAAAGCCCTGAGGGAGGTCTTGCTGAGGGACCTCGGGGGGCGATGCGCTAGCGTGACCAGGGCGGCTGCGTGCCCGGGAAAGGGTGGGGAGGATAAGCTCAAGGCGCTCAGCCATAGGGAGAGTAGGGTCCTCCAGGTGGTGTTGGACGGCATCGTCGAGGTCGAGGTCATCG